GACCCCACAGCATGTAGGTCGTAGCCAACTTTTTCTTCTATCAGACGCCGTGTCTCTGATTTGATATCAAGCTCCTTGATCCATTTTGAGTTAACTTTTGTGCTTGGCGAGAGAAAGGGATTCAGATTCATTTTGTTGCATATGGATTTCCAGTTTTCCCAGCACCATTTGTTGAAGATGCTATCCTTCCTCCATTGCATGCTTTTAGCCCCTTTATAATGATGCCCTTTAGATGATTGCTGTCTGCTGAGTCTGTGCGTGTCCTCCTTTGGCTCAACTCTGCTCTCCTAAGAAAGGCAAGACTCCACTAGCCTCTGCCTGATTCATTCATTTGGGACCTGGAGATTAGTGTCTGGAATAGGAGTCCAGCATTTGGAGTTAGACATGGGTCTTCACTTACTAGCTATAGGAACTTGGAAAAATTCATATTATTGCTCTTGGGGGATCCCATCCATAAAATTAAGTTAATAGGTATGGCCTTCCTAGGGTTTAAAAATGGTACTACGTTATGGCTAGAGAGAACCAAGGAGTTCTGGTGTGCTGGTTCACAATAGGATGACTATAGATAGCACTGTACCTTTCAAGAATCCAGAAAAAAAGGATTTCAAATGTTTCTACCATAAAGAAATGGTATTTGAAGAGAGAGACATGTTTGACTAGATCTGAACATTACACAATGTATACATGAATCAAAACAGCAGATGATACGCCTTCAGCCTACACATTTTTAATGTTTCAATGTGCCAGTTAAGAAGTAAATTTAAAAAAGATTTCATGGAGCCTCTGCTTTGCATATTTAGTTATTTAGTTCATTCCTCACTTTCTTACATGAATGTATCACACAGCAGTGGGGTGGTGGAGTCACAGAACGAAAACAAACCCAGAGACAGTTTTCCCCAATGAACTCTCATCTTTTAATTAGGCTCCTTGGGAAGTCATACACATGTCCCAGCAGCTGATGCCACCTGTCTTCCTGCTGCCCTGTGTACTTTTGTGTGCTATTTTTTTGGTAGTGGCAGATCCTTCCCTGAGATTGGAGGTGACCTTTTAGGAAGAGCCAACAGTCATTGGGAGCCATGCTTCATGAATAAAGAGCCTGATATCTGGTGGATATGCTCCTTTTAAGATGTGTGAAGTGGTTTCAATAGACTTTCAAAAGSGGGCTTCAGAGAGATCATAAGTTATTTTTTTTTTCCTGCAGCACAAAAATACAGCTGATAATTCACCTGAGAAACTGAAACTGGATGACACGCAACAAGGTCTGATATGTCTTATYTGTCATAAGACCTGAGAGGTCTATTTAAATGTTTATTCAGGATGCTTAGCACTTCTTGGTTTTGCTTTTTCTTCTTAGAAGTTACCTCAAAACATGAGTATTCTTCAGATGCAAAAGAACCGTCCGTTCCAATTCAGGCTCCTAAATTAGACAACAAATCTAGGTAAGTGATTTTTTTTTTAAGTTTTATTCTTAATAGAACATATTAATTGTACATATTGAGGCACAGTGAAAGTTCTATAAATGTATCATGGAATGATGAAATCATGGTATCTAGCATGCACATAAAACATCTACCACTTCTTTTTTGGTGAGAACATTCAGAAACCTCCTGTAGTTATTTTGAAATATGCACCACTGGGGGCTGAGGTTGTGGCTCTGCAGAAGAGTGCTCACCTAGCCTGTATGAGGCGCTGGGTTTGATCCTCAGCACCACATAAAAATAAAGATGTTGTGTCCACTGAAAACTAAAAAAAAAAAAAAAAAAAAAAAAAAATTAAAATTCTCTCTCTCAAAAAATTAAAAAGAAATTAAAAAAATAATATATATAAATGTGTCTGACAATATTAACTATTGGCACCCAACTGTGCTGTAGCCTCCAGAAGGTGTTCCTCATATTGGCTATAGTTTTGGCCAATCTCTCCCCAACATCTCTTTCCCTTTACCCATCCCCTTGTCCCACCCCCCCCACCCCCACCACCTCCACCTCTGATAACTATTATTTACCTCTCTTTCCATGGTGGTTTTAGGGTCCACACGTAAGTGARATCAGCAGTGTTTATCTTTCTCTGCTAGGTTTATTTCACATAACAGAATGTCCTCCATGTTTTGAAAATGATAGAATTCCATCTTCTTTTATGACTGACTACTATTCYATTGTGTATCTCACCACATTTTCTTCATCTATTTTTCTCTGGATTGATACAGGTTGAGTCCACATCTTGGCAATTGTGAAACTAAAAATTGTGCTAATTATTGTATGTCAATACTACAAGTTAACATCTCATTCCAAGGAGAAAGCATTTTGAGAAGTTTTCTCTGTTGAACAGTTTGGGTTGGCAGATTCTCCTGGACCTATAGACCTCTGCTATTATCTCTAGGGTATCTTTGATGTRTTTTTCTGCTGCAAAACATTGAATCTGAGATTGAAAAAACATTCAATATACAAAAATCATTTTCACTATTAACCAAAAATTGAAATAAAAAAGCAATATAATTTACAATAATATTAAACATGTGACATAATTTGGGATTAGTTTAACAAAAGATTTACTTTAGGCTTATTTACTTTTATATTAGGGGATTTAACCCAAGGGGTTTTTTTTACCACTGAGCCATGTCCCCACCCATTTTTATTTTTTAAGACAGGATCTCACTAAGTTGCTTAGGGCCTYGCCCAGTTGCTGAGGCTGGCCTCAAAGTTGTGATCCTCCTGCCTCAGCCCCCCAAGCCACTGGGATCACAGGGGCATGCCATCATTCCTAGCAACAAGATTTGTAAGATCCATTCTGTGCCACACAAGCAGAAAACTACAGAATGTTGAGAGAAGTTGAGGTAGGTAGAGAGAGAGAGACACTATTGGCATATTTCACTGTTTATGAGATGAAAAGCTCAATCTTAAGATGCAAGTTCTTCCCACATTGATCTAGGGATTCAATATAATCCCCAGTGAAAATCCCAGCAGCCTTTTTWAAAAAAATTATCAAACTACTTCTGAATTTCATGTGAAAGGACATGGAAGAGCCAAAACAAATTTCAAAAAGAAAGAAAGTGGGAGGGTTCACACACTACCTGGTTTCAAGATTTACSAAAAAATCAAGAGTGTTAGTAGTGGCATAAAGACAAATAAAACAGACAAGTCCAGAAATAGGTCTGAATATATGTGGACAGTTTGTCTTTGYATTTCTGTCTGTCATAGATAATGCAGCAGGGAAAGGGTAGGTGTTCAACATATGGTACTACAACAGTTGAAGAAAATAAATGACCTTTCTTCTTCAYCATCCATAGATCAGAGACCTATATGTAAAACCCACTTAAAGAGAAATATTTTTGAAAAACTTCAAAGATTTCTTAGATATGACACTAAATGCATATTCCATACAAGAACATGTTGGTGAATTATACTTCATCGATGTGAAGTAGGCTCTTCATCAGCCACTCTTGGAAGAAACAAGCCACTTGGAGAAGATATTTGTAAAAGACTTGAATCTGGAATATACTGATTATCAAACTTCAATAGTAAAAAYACAACTCAGTAAAAAGAGAGGCAAAATATTTAAACAGCTATTTCACCAAGGAAAATACACAGCAGAGAAACACATGAGAAGTTGTTGAGTATTATTAATTATTAAGGAAATGTCAATTAAAGCTGCAAGATGCACTGCACTATTAGAATGGCTGTCTGCACCATGAGTTTGTGACTGTGTAGGCTACYGGAACCTTTACATTCTGGTAGTTTCCTAAAATGTTATACACCCACCCTGTGGCCCAGGTATTCCAATCCTAGGTGTTTCCCCAAGAGAGATGTCAGTATATCYCCATGCAAAGGAATGGACATGAGTGTTTGACAGCTTTCTTTGTAATAGCTCCAAATTAGAAACTCTAATTAGAAATTAGAAACATTTTGGATAAAAGATAAAATGAATAAACATGTGTTTATTCATTTTATCTTTTATCCAAAATGTCTGGAACTAAAAGTGTTTCATATTTCAGAGTTCTCTGGATTTGAGAATATTTGAACATTACAAAATGAGAGATCCTGGGGATGGGATCCAAAGTCTAAACACAAATTTATTTTTCACACATGACTTATACATATGTCCTGAAGGTAATCTCATTCAATATTTTTTTAAGAGAATTTTTAAAATATTTTAATTTTTAGTTTTCAGCGGATACAACATCTTTGTTTGTATGTGGTGCTGAGGATGGAACCCAGGCTGCACGCATGCCAGGCGAGCGCGCTACCRCTTGAGCCACATCCCCAGCCCTCATTCAATATTCTTAACACATCAGTCACCAGTAATTTGACTATGACCTGTCACTTGAGGTCCAGTGTGGAATTTTCCATGTGTTTCAGTTGTTCAAAATGAGTACCTTCTCCCCAGCCCCTGGCAACTGCCATCCTGCTGTTTCTATAAGCATGACTATTTTGGATACTTTGTATGTTTGGAATTGTGTGTAGTACTTGTGCTTTTGTGATTTGCTTGCCTTAGTGTAATTTTCCATGTTAATCCATGCCATTACCTATGGCAGGATTTCCTTTTCTAAGACTGAGTAGTATTCAAGTGTGCGCACGTGTGTGTGCATGCGTATGCTATAGTTTCTTTATCCATGCTTTCCTCATGGATAGTTGGGTTGTTCACAAATTGTGTTAGTCAGCTTTAGGACACTGTAATAAATAAATGCCTGAGATTTTTCAACTTAAAGAGAAGAAAGGTTTTATTTTGGCTCACAATTTTGGAAATTACAGCCCATGGTTGGTTGACTGTTGCTTTGGGGCCTGTGGCAAAGTACATCATGGCAGGAGCATGCAGCAGCGACAACTGCTCATTTCATKGTGGCTGGAGAACGAGAGAGGGGAAAGGACTGGGATCCCCAAATCACTTTCTAGGGCACGCATCTAGTGACCTAGCTTCCTCCCACGAGGTCCCACCTCTACCACATCCCTAGCACCACAGCATGTTGAACAAGCCTTTAACCTGCGGGCCTTTGGGGAGCACTTATCCAAATMATAGCATATCTCCTGGCCATTGTGGATAACACTGCAACGAACATTGAAGTGCAGGCACTTTCCGATCTCGGTACCTTTTGGACGTATACTTTGTAGGACTGCTGAATTACATGGTAGTTCTATTTTTATTTGGGGGGAGTACCTCCATACTGTTTTCCATGGCAGCATCCCTCTTTATTCACGTCGTTATTTTTACAGTAACCTTACATCTAACACCCATCTGTAAAATAAAAATAATAGACCACATGGCTGATAAATGAATAGTCAAAATATAGAAGGAACTCCTACAACTCAACAGCAGCTAATAATAATAGCCCAAGTAAGAAAGTGGGGAAAAGGCTTAAATAGACATTCTCCAAGGAAGACCTACAGATGGATAGTCAGCTTAGGGAAGATGCTCAATGTGCAGCATCTGTTTAAAGCACCCCAGGTGGCTCTCGGGGGAGGCCAGGCTGGAGGAACACTCTGCAGCCTTGCTGCTGGCTGGCCCCTTGCCAGTCCTGCTTGGCCTTCCTCTTCTCTGTGTGCCTCGGACAAGGAACTTGGCAAAGTTTATTTTCTTATAGTCATTGTCTTCCAGAGGAACAGACTGCAAAATAGAAGCCAGTCTGCAGGACGGATGCTCCCCATGCACAGGGTTCATAATTGGGCAAAGGGCGGTGAAGTAAGGGAAGAAAGAGGGTGATGGTCGTACGGGTTCCGTTCATTGGCTATATTTTATTTTAGGGAAGATCCTACTTTCCAGAGTGGCAGAAAGCAAAGGAGAAGGATGTCGGTAATGTAGTACCTTTGATTATTTTAAAGTAATAACTCCCCAGGTTTCAGTTACTTGCATGCCACCTATAAAATGTGCCATAGCATGATTCCTGGTTATCTGTTTTTCTAAACTATCTTAAATTTATTTTAAAAGAAATTATTTCAATTTTAAATGGAAAAGCAGTGTTCTAGCAGATAAATAGCACTTGAAAATCGCCAGGTTACCCTCTGGGCTCTGAAAAGACTCATCGGCCATATCTAGGATCATCAGTTTGGACAGATTAAGTGAGCCCAGTCAAAAAAACTCAGCAGAAGGTAACATTGTCATGTTAAACCTCAATTGTTTGCAAATAGGTAGTGGACAATTTGAAGGTAGATGCTCTCAGTCACTCCTTTGCCTCTGTAGTAAGTGCTCATTTAACAGAAAAGAGCCCGCTCATGTTAGCTGGGACATGGTGGACCCTCTCGTTGCTCCATGGCAACAGAATCAGGTGAGAGTGGCATCTCCGTGGCCGCTAGCACTTAAGCGCACAGCCAGAGAGCTCTCCCAAAAATGCACCCTGGGGCTTCCCCTCTTAAAACCTTTGTCTCCCTTTTTTTCCCCTAAATTACATTAGGCCCCTTCTTGCTTTGCTATATATTTTTAAAGGTCTTAAGCACTCAAAACTTATCCTGAGTAGATCAGATCTGTTAAAGAATCAAAATGTCTCGCTGAGTCAGCATGGCCCAATGGCATGCCTTATGTCTGAGCCAATGACATCTATCCAAGTGCCACCATTGGTGGCCATTTGCTTTTGGAAGCACAGTGCTGAGTGTGGTCTATGTTCTCCTTTAAAAAATAAAGAGCAAGATGCAGAGAAGCCTGGCTCATGAAAGTTCCTGTCGGAAATCACCTTCTCTAACCAGTGTAGGTGCCCGTCCATGGATTCAAGGCCAATATGTAGTGTATGTTCTCAACAAAATACTGTGAAGCCTCACGGAGGGAAATCCTGTCACTCGAGGCAGCGTGGGTGAGCRTGAGGAATATTACGTTGAGTGAAATAAGCCAGGCACAGAAAGGCACATCCTGGGTGGCCTCACTTGTGTGGAATTTTTAAAAAGTCAAACTCATGGAAATAGGGAGGGAAATGATAGACATCAGGGGCTGGAGGTGTTGGGGAGAATACGGATCAAAGGATATAAAATTTCARTTAGACAAATAGGCCTGTCTTATCTCAAAATGACTATAGTTAATACAATTTAAGTATACTATGTATTGTTATGAGAATAGGTTTTAGGTATGTTCATTTTTAAAAAGTATGTGAGGTCGTGCATGTGCTAATTAGATTTTAATTCTTACATAGTGGATTCATATATCAGAACATCATGGGGTGTACCAGACATTCACAAATTTTGTCTGTTAAAAATGACCTCTACAAAATGCTGAACCACGAAACATTTTTAAGGGAGGAGTAATTGGGTCTTACAAATGAAATTATTTGGTAACTGGACAATTAACCACCCTCACCCCTGGGCCATGGTGGTGATATCACAAAAACTGACATTGGTTCAGTTCTAACCCGGTTGTGGCCTCGGGAGATGATTCTGCGTTTTGTCATTTGAGATGGTGGGTWTATCCTCTAGTGGATGATGCTTCCTGTTTGAGAAGACCAAGATGCTTTTTACCAGTTACTGTGTTGGGATCCTTCAGAATCCCCCCTTACAGCAGATGGGAATGGTTGTTGCAGCTGAGTGGTGGGTCCCCGGAAAAGCAGAGTGGTTTGGGGACAGAGCCCCTGGAGGTACCCAACACGGATCTCATATAGGGTGGGATTTTTTCTGTTAAAATCAAAACCAATTTTAAAATGGAGCATAAACATATTTTCATCATAGCATTTATTTTAGAAGCTCAAAAACTATAAAAGCTTTTTTAAACATAAATATCAAAGTAYATTTGAATTACCAGAAAAGATCAAATTTATTCTAAATCACTAACCTATTATAGTCTAGTCTTAGTTTCAAAATGCTTTGTTTTCTATAGAAATGATCCTCCTGGTTGGTTTCAGTTCTTCTAAGACATGGAGAACCAGGTCTTTGCAAAATAAAAAGGTGTGTGTGTGTGTATGTGTGTGCGCATGCATGTGTGTGAGCTTGTGTTTACACATCTGTGAACTTTGTTTTGTCGTTTGAGTTTATGCTTTGAAGCTGGCCAATATTCTGTGCATTTGCTTTTGAACAGCCAACATCTCTTCAAGTGCAGATACTTGATTAAAAGTTATGTGCTATCCTCTACAGCAGCAGCAGGGTTGGAACTCACTAACGGAATAATTCCTTTTTCTCTCCCTTCTGCACATTTTTATGATGGGAGGGAGCCAGTTCTTCCAGAAGGACTTCCTTCTCTGATGCCTTGATTAATATGTGTGTAGTAACAGGATTAACTGTACGTCAAGGGCACTGGCCCCCTCGGCCGGTTATTTAGCCTCTGTGTTTGTAAAAGTTTAATTACAGGAAACATCTTTTCTCGGAGAGTAATCAAGATTCCAGTTCTTCTACCAGTGAACAGTCTTGGAGCAGTAACCACAAAAGGAAATCCCTAAAGCCATATCCTAGTAGGAGTAAGACTAGAGTCAGAAGCGGTTTAAGAGGTACCTTTGCTTGTCATCTTTTGGGTCACTTCTCAGATCAATCGGCGGGTATTGTTTTTTTTCAGTGTGGGGGGATGGTAACAAAGAAATATGATTATGGGCTCCCCTTTCCCATTTTACAATCACACCGGAAAGGAAAAATATATGTACATGAAACAGAGAATATGGAGTTAACTAGAAGTTATTGAAAGTCAGGAGTTGAGCTGGGGGGACCTCATAAGAGCTAGAGCCACTTTCAAGTGAGAGGTGGGTAGGACTTGAGCTAAGCCTTGGGAAAGGAGTGGGGTGTGAAGAGCTGAGAAGGGGAAGCTTTTTAGGTAAAAACCACCAAAATGCACCCAGGAAGTGAGGGTGACSTTCAGGRAMRGTGTYTGGAGCAGGAGTTGACACCAGGTGRTGAGGAACRAGGKGGAATCATTGCAGAAGTATTTAAGAGCAGACACAKGAGCAGGTGCTCAGAAGTGGGAACAGCTCTAGCAGTGGCCTGTGTCATTAGAGGGAGAAATGGGCCTCTGTGTGTGTCATAACTAAATGTACCCACTGTATGCTTATTTCCTTTTGTTCTTTAGTCTTGCCACATTTCCTTTTCAGTAGTGGCAGTGACCATGAGAAAGATCAAGTAAGTAAATTGTGTTGTGGACTGCCCTGGGCCCTAATGGGTTAAATGACATTTTTTTTTTCTCAAAATACTCCAGCAATATGAGAACGATGAACCAGAAATTAGCTGTTATGTCCACGTCTGCCAATAGAAATGGCAAGAATCGTGGTGGTGCACACCCGTAATCCCAGCTACTGAGAAGGCTGAGACGGGAGGATTGCAAAGTTGAGGCCAGTTAGGCCAACTTAGCAAGACCCTCCCTCAATAAAAAAGGACTGGGCATGTCACTTAGAGGTGGAGTGCATCTGGGTTCAGTACCGAGTACTGCAAAAAAAACCCCACGAAAACCTGTAAGGGCTTCCAAACATTGAGTATGAATCATAGGTAATGATTAGGATCTTTTTTTTTCATTGTTTACAAATATTGTTAAATATTATATAAGATATCAAAAACCTTGGCTATTCTGAATTCCCACAGATATTTGCTCTTTTGAATTTGTTTTGAAGTAAATTGGTTTAATTCCTCGTATAGTTTTCRGTTTCTTATATTGCTTGTATTGCTTCTAAAGCTTTTTTCAGCATATAAATCTTCATTTTGCAAGTGGTTCACGTGCCTTCAGGCTTATGTAAATATTGAACAAACCCTTGGGGTTTTTAAATTTCACTTATCCTYGTTTTACACCAAGGAGTTTAAAGTATGGATGCCAGTGTCTTCTGGACCAATTCAAAGCCACCTTTTGCCTCTTGTCAGCCGAGTTATTCTTTGCTTAGTGGTTGGTTTTTGTCTGTCAYGTGAGGGGTGTATAGACTACAGAGTCCGCGAGCACGGACATAGGGTTTTATGAGAGGCCACTGCTGTGGTTGAGGCCTCCGTGGCACCCTGCCTGCTGGTGCAGAAACTCAATACACTGCAAGTGCTCTGGTCGCAGCTCCAGCTGCGTGCTTCACTAAGTGCATGTTGATTCTCAAGTAATTCAGGGTAGAGTGTAAACTTTTGAGCCAGAGTAGGTACAGTTTTCCCTTGGAATCCATGAGAGATGGGTTCCAGAACTCTTTGGTGACCAAAATCTATGGATGCTCAAGTATCTAGGCATATCCTTCTAYATACTCTAAATCATATTTAAGTTCCTCATAGTACCTAATGCATTGTAAATGCTATGCATAATAGTCACTATGCTATCTGGTCCAGAGAATGTGTGACTAGGGGGACAGTTGATGTATAGATTGAGTAAATGCAGTGTTTTCTTCAGTATTTTTGATGGGCCGTTGGTTGAATTTGTGGGTGTGGGACCCATAGATATGGAGGGCTGATTGTAGTTGGTTATTTGTTGACTCATTCAACCTGAAATAATGAAATGGCCCAAAAGAATAGATTACCTAGTAAATATGTCTTTGGTTTTTAAATAAGCACCAAAGAAACATCACCGATTTAAGAATTCTTAAATCCAAGCTATGCAACTGGTAAAGTCTAGGCTGATGTTCAGTGAGGGTCTTGTAGACTTTCCACTTAAAATATATTTTCCTGTGCTGCAGTATAAGAATAATTTGCGGGACTGGGGATGTGGCTTAAGTGGTAGTGTGCTTGCCTGGCATGCGTGAGGCACTGGGTTCCATTCTCAGCACCACATAAAAATAAAGATATCTTTAAAAAATGGTCAAAATGGTAAATTAAAAAAAATGATTATCTTAGTACTTGGTTTTTGTCTGTCATGTGTGTATAGACTACAGAGTTGTCAAACTTTTCTGTAAAGGCCCAGATAGTAAATATTTGGACTTTTGTGAGTCAGTCTCTAGCAATAACCCAACTCTGTCTTTGTAGCCAGAAAGGTGCCATAGATGATAGGGAAATGAACAGCATACGGTGTTCTAATAAAACTTTATTTAGAATAATAGACCATGGGTTGTACCTTGCCAAACCCTGATTCAGAACAGTGGTTCTCAAATTAGAGTGGTTATCAGAAAAACTAGGATGACTTGTTAAGACAGATTTCTCAGTCCTATCCCCAGCGTTTCTTATTGAGTAGGTCATAGGTGGCACTTGAATATTCACATTTCTTTCATGTTCCTGTGTGTTGATGATGCTCTTGATCTGGACCACACTCTGAAAAGCACTGATTTAGAGTTTATCAGTTGAAGTATGACCTAACTGTTTTTATAATTCTGAAATTTCCTGGTCTTTGGGTTTATTTTTGAATGCAGTAAATCCAATACCTAACTTCTTAAAAGGATATTGAAAATGTCTTGGGATTTTTTTGGATAAAGTTTTCAGTGGTTATGAATGCTCATACTTAACAAAGGTGTCATTATGTTAGGCTAATCTTCTGTCACCAGTACGGGAAGACACTGATAGGCAAAATGCCACACTTCCAAAAATTTCTGAACCTGAACCCCAGCGTAGCCCTTCCTTTTTAACTTCTGAAGATTCTACACAGAAAATAGGTAAGTGTTTTTTTGTTGTTGGTTTGTATAGACAAAAAGTTGTATTTGGAGACTGGTGGTTTGAAGCAAACCATTTTTTAAAAAGCCATGAAGGAAAGTGTTAGTTTGTGATGGCCTTTCCCTTTAATGTCTCCATTGGCAAAGGATGGGAGATATTTTGTTTATATTTTGCTTTGACATTTGAAATCAGATTACTCATAAGAATTGCCAGGTCTCCCTTTAAAGATGCAGGAAAACTCAAGTGATGACCTAGAGCAGGAATTGATAAACTTTTCCCATAAAGTACACTGATAGCAAATATTTTTGCCTCTTGAATGCATATGGTTTCTGTTGCAGCTGTTTAACTCCACAGTTGTAGCACAAAATCGGGCACAGACAAGATTTAAACCAGTAAGCAGGCTTCTACCAAATGTTATTTACAAAATTGGATGCAAATTGGATTTGGCCTGGGGGTCCGGTTTTGCCAAGCTTTGTTTTGTAAGCATTACTGTAACCCTCCCTGTATCTTATTGGAATTGTTTGCGTCTTTTTAAGTTCATAAGCTTAGGGATTTTTCTTTTGTTCACCTTCATCATTCTACAGTTTAGCTGCTGCCAGGCATATACTGGCACCTAGGAAGCACTGGGCCTCTTAGCCTGGCTGCCACTCATAGAAATGTAAGGAAATAGAAAGGGAGAGATGAAGATGCAGCATGAAGAGAGAGAGGCAGTGAGACAGAAAGTTTGGGAAAAAGGAACAAACTGCAAAACAGAAAACAATTATCAAAAGGCCACAGTAAGTCCTTACCTATTAACAATTACTTTATTGTAAATGGAATAAGTCCTTCAATCAAAAGAAAGAGTGGCTGAATAGCTTAAAGAAACAAGATCCAATGACATGCAAGAAACTTACATTCGTCTTAAGGAAAAACAGACTGAAAATGAAGAGATGAACAAAGATACACTCCATGTAAATGGTAACCAAAAGAGAGCAGAGGTGGCTATACTTAAKATATACTTTCTGTCAAAAATCTGTCATCGATCACAAAGATTAATGTATYATGATAAAGGGGTCAGTTCAAGAAGAGGATATAATGATTGTAAATACACAGGCACCCAGCATTGGAGCACCTAAATATGTAGAGCAGATATTAACAAAATGGAAGGAGAAACCAACAGCAATACCATAGTAGTAGGGGACTTCAGAAACCCATTTTCAACAATGGGCAGATCATCCAGAAAGAAAATCAATATGGAAATGGTGGACTTGGATGGTCCCGTGGAACAAGGGACCCAACAGACATACAACGTTCCATACAACAGCAGAGTACACATTCTCAAGTGTACACTGGACATTGTCCTGGATATATCTAATGTATGGCCATAAAACATGTCTTAACAAGTTTAAGAGGATTGAAATCATGTCCAGTCTTTTCTGACAACAGTGGCACAAAATTGAAGTGTTAACGGGGAAATTTTTGGAAAATTCACAAGTGTGTGGACAGTAACAGCCTACTTCTGAGTAATCAGTGGGTCAGAGAAAATCAAGAGTYTCTTGAGACAAAAGGAAATGGAAACAGACTACACCAGACCCTATGGGATGCAGCCAAAGCAGCATTTAGAGGGAAGTTCATAAGGATAAAAGCCTACATTAAGGACTGGGGTTATGGCTCAGTGGTAGAGCGCTCGCCTAGCTCGTGTGAGGTCCTGGGTTCAATCCTCAGCACCACATATAAACAAATAAAGGCATTGTGTCCATCTACAACTAAAAAAATATTATTTTAAAAAAGTCTACATTAGGAAAAAAGATGTCAAATGAACCAACTAATTCTACACTGCAAGGCACTAAAAATAGAATAAACTAYGCCCAAAGTCATGAGGAGGAGGAAAATATTTGAGGGCAGAAATAAGAGAAATAGACCCTAAGATAATTTAAAAGAGCTACAAAACAAATTAGTTCTGTAACACTTGCCTGTTATTACATTTGCCTGTAATTCCAGCAGCTCAGGGGGCTGAGGCAGGAGGATCACACGTTCAAAATCAACCTCAGCAAAAGCGAGGTGCTAAGAAACTCGGTGAGACCCTATCTCTAAATAAAATACAAAATGGGGATGTGGCTCAGTAGTCAAGTGGTCAAGTACCCCTGAGTTCAATCTCTGGTACCAAAAAGAAAAAAAAAAGTTTTGTGAAAAGATAAAAATAACAAACTTGATCCTATCTAAGAAAAAAGGGGGCTCGAATAAAATTAGAGTCAGAACATTACAACTGATACTACAGAAATACAAAGGATCATAAGATGCTGCTGTAGAAAATTATATGCCAAMAAATTGGATCACCTAAAAGGAATGAATAAATTTCCAGACACATAAACCTACCAAGACTGAATCATGAAGTAGAGAATTTGAAAAGATTCAAAATAATGAGACAGAATCAGTAATTGGAAATTTCCCTTCAAAGCAAAGCCCAGGACATGATGGATATATGATTGAATTCTACCGAGCATTTTTAAAGAAATTAGCTGGTCTTCCTGAAACTATTCCAGAAACTTGGAGAGGAGGAAACATTACCAAGTGTACTTTATGAAACCAGCATTACTCTGACACCAAAGCTATATAAAGACACTACATGAGAAGAATATTACAGGCCAATGTTCCTGATGGACATGAATTCAGAAATCTCTATCAATATACAAGTCAATGGATTAAAACAGTACATTGAAAACACTGTGATCAAGTGGGATTTATCCCTGGGATGTAAGGATGGTTCAACATATGGAAACTAATAAATGGAAAAAAATCACCTTAACAGAATGAAGGATAAAATCCTATGATCATTTCAATAGATGCAGAAAAAGTATTTGGAAAAAATTCAATAAAAATTAGATGTATAAGGAATCACCTCAACATTTTTAAGTCAATATGTGAGAAGCCCACACTTAATATTGTATTCAGTGGTGAAAACCTGAAAATTTTAAGATCAAAGCAAGCATGCCTATTCTCACCACTTCTACTCAATATAGTTCTGCAAATCCTAGTCAGAAAYTGGACAAGACAGAAAAAAGGATCCAAACTGGAATGAAAAAAGTTAACTTGTCACTGTTACCAAAAAACTCTTATATAGAGAGAACCACCAAACTTCTTCCACCAGAAATCTCAGAACTGCTAAACCATTTCCTCTAGAAGTAAAATTATGGGATAATAAAATCAATATATAAAWATCCCTTGTGGTTTTTCCCCCTGGTTATTCCTGATTCAAATTGGCTGAAGAAAAGGCGCTTATCACTCACAACATTTTCCACAAAGATGAACTAACGTAATAGGTGTATGGCTGCATTTTTGAGATGAGCATTGAGGAGAGACATTGAAAAGCAGCCAAAGACTGAAACCTGAAAGATTTAGAGACTTAAGAATAACAGTATAGTGAGAAAAACAAAATACCCTGGTGTATGTGGGTCTGCAGACAGGAGTCCTGCTTACATGGGTTAAGAGTGGAAAAAGTCCACTGGGTACAGTGGCGCACACCTGTAAACCCAGCAGCTTGGGAGGCTGAGGCCAAAGGATCATGAGTTCAAAGCCAGCCTCAGCAAAAGCGAGGTTCTTAGCAACTCAGTGAGATCCTGTCTCAATAAAATACAAAATAGGGCTTAGGATGTGGCTCAGTGGTTGAGCGCCCCTGCGTTCAATCCCTGGTACCACCTCCCACCAAAAAATAAAATAATAAATCCTAGAAAACTCAACCAGTATGGATGCTGACAATCCTAAATACTGAAGAGTTTCAATCCTCATGTGCTTGCAGCTCACTTAGACAAGTGATCTGAAATCTGCTCGGTATCCTTGCTTTGGGAAAGGATCTCTGGTTATCTCCCTGTGAAACCCCCCCGAGTGCTGTAGTTAGGAGCCATCTTGAGCAGTGATCTGTCATCTGTCTGGGCTGCTCTAGGTGTCATAACCCCCTGCGTATTCCTGCCTCCAGGACTCCACAGACACTCCACCACACTCACTTGTGGGTCCCTGTCTCATGACCCCTACACGGTACAGCAGAACAACTGTGACTGAAGTCCACTGGGTGCCCTGCAAGAGAGAAGTGTTGGGACAAGGAGGAGAATGGAGGACACTGCCCTCAAGAACCAAGAGGGTGGAGCCCTTGCCCTCTGAGACTAARGGTGTGGTCAGCTGCACAGGGACTCCTGCTAAATGCCAGGACTGCAGGCGGGCGCTCCCCCACCATACCGCATTCAGATGCCCATTACTGGCAGGTTGGGGAGGGAACTACTATACTAGTTCCGTCATCCAACACCCCTTCATAATAAAAGCTCTCAACAAGTGAGAGATGGAAAGATCCTGCCTCAACTACTGAAAGCTACATATGCAAAACTGTCACCAATGTCATATCCATGAGGGAAAGCTAAGATCATGGACAGTACAAGTATGTATTTTCATTGCTTTTATTCACAGAGCTTTTAGAAAGAAAAGGCATCAAATGTGAGGAAATTATCTCTGTAGGCATTATTCTATATGTAGAAATTCAAATATTCCACCAAGAGACTATTAGAATTGATAAACTCGGTAAAGTAGCAGGATGCAATGTCAACATAAAATATCTGTTTTCCATATACCAATAACAAAGTTTGCTGAAAAAAAAATCATGAAGGCAATTCTTCATACTAGCTACAAATAAATAAAATATCCCAGGAATTAACCAAAGAAACAATCTCTCTCTACAGGAATAATCAGACAGATGAGAGAATTTGTAAATAGAAGATGAAAAGACTTTCCTTGTTCATGATTGAAGAATTGATAGCTTAAATGTCCAGACCACAGTGCAATCTATAGATTCCATGCATTTTCCACCCAAATACTCATAAAATTCTTCACAGAACTAGAAAAAATAGTAACATTCATATGGAAGCCAAAACTACACTAAATAGCCAAAGGAATCTTTTAAAAATAGCAAATAATATATATTCCTGGATAAAGAAACTTATGATATCCATATCCACAAATGATTCAATTTAGTAAGGAC